ACGCTTGCTATAATTAATAGACATTAAACGTTGCAATAACAAAATAAAAGAGATTAGAACGTTGTACTACGTATATTGTGTATAACAATAACAAAAAACTTCTTTCTGCTTGGGTAGTATACAATCCAAGTCGTACATTGATCCGTTGACAGTCTGTAAAGAAGAAAAGAATCACCCGTCAGTATCAATACAATGATACTTTGATAGTACAACTAATCCATTAATATATGTAATGACATACAGCAAACATTGTTCTAGTTCGATGTTGAGAATAAGGCGTAATCAGAACATTAATTAGGAGGCTCTAGAGCCGCATCAGTACTTTTGTACTGACTCGTCAGCTGAAACAGGTTATTATTGGCGAATTGGATCAAGACGGAAATAATATAGTTAGTATGTGATGAGTGATTGCTTGCTTTTTAGATTTCATAGCCATGCCCAGTGTACTACTCGAATAGCGTACTACTTGAATGGTGTGACCGCCAAAACAAAAAATTATTATCCGAACTGTGCAACGCTTCGGATAATTTCCTGTTTGTGTAAAAGGCCAGTATTGCTGGACTAATAAACTCGGCGCATTTACGGTAGAGCTGGCTCTCATTATGAGCAACCCGAAAGCTTACTTCAAAGACTGATAGTAAAAATCGAAGCCACCATCTCTAATATCGGTACCTCTTCCCTATGAATGAGGAAAGGCAAAGACGTCTTAAATTCAAAGAACTTCTTTGCGCATACATCGTATACGAATAAGTAAATATTAATTACTATGGACTACAAAACTAATGGTTGCCGGTGGGTTTTCTACAATGATTTACGACGTCGTATTGTGACAAAAATAAATTGTTATTATTATTACAACGAGACCGAAAGGCAATTTGAATGAGCCACCAGTCTTGGAGGATTTACGTGTCAAAAGACATTGATAATGTTCGTGCTCGTGCAGATATTTAGAAGTTTCTATCGAAGCATCATCTGCGCAATGAGGGGATTAATTGAAAAGAAAATGTCGTCGACGTTATTGTACTGAAGAGCATGCCAAGCTATTAAGCATGCCAAGCGTATTACGACCTAACCGTTGCCAGAAAAAATAAAGCCGTGTACCAAATTATATGCTAATATGGAAATTACGGGTATCCTTACCCAAGACAACTTGCCCAATGACACTAACGCCATAGATACCGGAACCTGAGCTCAGGGCACTAAAAAGAAAAGATAAGGATGGGCTGTCATACATGAAGCATCCCAAACCAATCTTTTTGTTAATGATAGTCGTAATTCTGAACTGATAGTAGATACACACTTTAGAGACCGAATAAAGTAAACACAACCATTAATAACAACATTTATAGTGAATGAATGTATTCCCGGAAAACCCTTCCGTGGTTCCGATAGACTAAGACTAACGATGGATGGACAAAACCTGAATCAATTCAAGCAAAATATCTTCTTTATGACTAATTCCAGACATGTTGGAGACGTGTATGCCGCATGCAGAGTAGAAGGGCCCAGCAAAGTAAAGAAAGACAAAGAAGATAACGTCTTTTTTCTTTTCTCGCTTACCAAACCCCAATTACATCTGCACCATCCCGTTAACGGGAGAATGGTCTTATTTGTCTGACAGTGAGTTCATATTTTGGTGCACCGAATATAGTATGTATTAACCACATGCATCTCTCGTGCTTTCATTTTCTTTGTCTCGTCGACCATTCCATTATGGTACAACAAAGTGCCAGACCCAACCTTAATTGATCAGATCATCATTCATTTACCACCGCTTGGGAACGGGGGTTAATTAGTATTACCATTATGCAACGTTGGATCTTATTGGTTAAAAGTTCGTTGTTTGATGAATAGAAAGACATAGTTACGCTGTTGGATAGAAATAGAAGGTGCACTTTTATAATATGGGTTTAGTGCGATACGATCTGTATTAATATTACACATAGATGGTCACCGCATATCGGCATACATACATGTACATATTATTAATAAGATACTTCAAAACGGGTATGCTGTTTAAACTATCCTCCAAAAAGTGCAAGGGTTATTACCGTGTAACCAAACAAACACTCATGGAGGATAGTAAAAGTGTTATTGATGCTTATTAAGGCAGACCACATTCTTACAAAACACGACATCTATAGTAGATTGCACGCGTGCATAACAAACACAATACCCCATTACTTTCTCTGTTACAATCGTTATCACTCGCAGATATTTCCTTGTCTCTGTCGTCACAAGCGTCAACAACGCAAGCCTTTTCTCTCGATAAACCATTCATTCAATGTCTCCCCCCCACCTCTCATATAACCCCTTCATTATCTTGCTTCCCCTTTCAAATCATAAAATACCGCTTATAATAATAGCCTCTTCTTTTTTCAAAAGATTTACCTCTTATTCCCTTTTTTAGAAATCAACGTAAAAAATATATAATACCGGATTTTGGTTGAAGATAGAAAATCTATTGGAAACGGAGGGTTTTTTGCAATCAAAAACCCAACTGAATATTTGTTTGTTGGGGGGTATTTTCTCTGGGCAAGAGAGAAATAAGAAAAACATATAGACGTCAAAAATATAAAGCTGAAATTGCAATTACGAAAAAAAAATACACTATCTTATGCAGTAACAGCTCGCCATTCGTATAGAACTGTACATATACATATCATACACGCACGACTTGTATAATATACAGACTCATTCACCGCTTCCCCGCCTCTCTCCTCTCTCCTCTCCCCTCCCCCCCCCCACTCTATAAATATTTTTTCATACGCTCCCTTTTCAGCAAATGTCTCCCGATACTCAACCCCAAGCTTTCCTCCTGCAAACGACATACATAAGTAGTATAACGCTAAACACCATACTTCTTGCATGGACGATATCTCACTCCCTTACCGATGGACGCATACCTCCCCAACTACCAATTCTCAGACGTTGGACAATATCAGGAAGAACAATCGGATTCATGTGTATAGTTTGGTCCCTATTGTTTAACATTACTGCGGATGTACTAGCAACGATAACGGTGCCAGACATGAGCTTTTTTTCGACTGCATTGATACTATGGACACTGGCTTATGGACTCAAGGCATCGGCTGTGTTTATCAGCCTGGAGAGATACTACACCGTCACCAAAAACTTGGTGAAAGAGGCTGTTGTGACGAAAAGGGAAACCACCGTCTATGCTATATTCTCGGTTCTATCACTCGTCCTCGTGTATCCATCTCTGCTAGTAATCCTCTTGACGAAAGCATCATCGTGGTACGACGGCCAACTACCCACATCGTTCTACTTTACGGCACAATTACTCCTCGCTTCTATTCTATACATTAAACTCAATAGACGTATCGGGGTCGTATTAGATGAAGGGTTATGTGTGGGAAGGAGAGCGATCAGAGAACTAAGGAAATTCAGGAGAAGAAATTTTTACATGATTGCAGCATTGGGAGGCGAGGTCGTTGGAGGATTGATCTGGGACGTGGATTTGATGACTGGCATGAACGTTTACAATAATCTCCAAGGAGGCATTGCCGTTCAAGTGTTTAGAAATTTCTCTCGTGCTTTGGTTTATGTCTGTGTAACGTGGGTAATATTTCCTCCAACAGACTTTACTCCTCAACCGGGAGCTGCCCCGCTAATAAATCTACCATATACGCATTCGCTCGCATCCGCAAAGAATGGCTTTTCGTCTCTTCATCTTCGCTCTTATCTCAAACGTAACAACCATACCGTTCCATTCGGCCACATATATCCTAAGCCACTGCGAGGTTCATTCGATAGTGATGATATATTCGAGGATGAAGATTTTATGGGAAGAGGAAACAAGAAGGAAGATGATGGAGTCCAGGAGGGTGGTGGTGGTGTCGGTGTTGTTGTCAAGATGCCAGACAACGTGATTGTTAAGGATAAGGAAAGTTTTGTGGTTAGTGTTGACTAAAAAAAAAAAGTCTATTCTTTTTGCGGACATCAGATGCTGAAAGTGGATATCATTTATATACAGTATATCAACCTCCAATTGTTATTTCGCCGATTGTATAGAAAAGAAAGCTTCATCTTCCTTTTGTCTTATGTTTCATAGATTATATAGATCATATTTGCATAGCATTATTTCTCATCAGCATATGTTACTTATTCACTCATATCTACATTATAGAAATACACTCAGTATGTCTTCACAATTGCGCATTGTAACATTTTATTCACTTCGTCTCCACCCTTTTTGAACATATTGAATTGTCTTTCTCACTGTAATATTTTTTCAAGTTATTATCGTGAAAATGTACTTTACATTGTACTTGACAAAAGAAAAAAAAATAAATAAATGCCAAGTTTTAAGAACCTATAAATAAATAGTAAAATCTGTATAACAAGCAAAAAATAAAAAGTTGGCGGGAAAGATGTTATGCGAGGAGATTGAGAAAGTAAACACGATCCAGTGCTGCGAATGCATTAGGAATTCTTGTCCTTTCGCTATAGACTGAATTGCCATTTATTTCATCCACTTCATCCCCGACACAACTTTTACAATTTCTCGACTTGACGTTACTTTGTGACATTTCATTTGATACAAAATAGTACTAAACAGATATCTATAGGTATAAGTGCTGAACAGATATTAATATGAAAAATAGAACAAAAATGTAGTAGACAAACACCCCCAAAGGTAACGAGAAATGAAAGCAAACGAAAACATGCTAATTATATATGATGATGATTAAAGGTAACATGAAAACGATATAAAGGCATTATATATAAAGTTTAGGGGGGTTGAAAAACGCTAAATAGTAATCTAATCGCGAATGATAAAGACACAAACTCGCACAGCCCCAATAAACACTGTTCATGAATTTAGTCTACTCCAACTCAAACCACTCCCGTATGCACACAATCTAATCTACGCCCAACTGTCTCTGATAGAGAGATTACTTAATGTACAAGAGAAAGTAAAAGAAATCTCTCAAGTCCTCATTGGATTAGGAAAGGATTAATACCACCTTTTTTTTTCACTTTAATCCAAATCCTTCGCTATCTGTTATGGCTCTTATAAGTTTGGCTTCAAGTTTCCTCTTTGTTCGGTATCGATATAGACATATTTGGTTGAAGCATGTGTGGGCAATCGGGAATCTGGTGGAAGATACAGTGTTAGTTTTCAATAGAAAATAAAACATACGTTCAATTATCGAACATTGTATAATCGATTATGTCCGACTTGGTTTTTGTTTCAATCCCTTACTACATTATCGTTTCTCTCTTCCCTACAAATCATTCTGTACATCGTAGCCTCTTGATATATACAAACCTCTCACTATCTTCTCCAATACATGTAATCTTAAAAGCCAGATTCTCTACTCCTGTCGCCGGAATCCTATCTGTCCCTGTGACGAACGTTAAAAGTTTCCTTTGCATTAGTGGATTAATTTCTTTAAATAATATCCAAAAGTTTCTGATTGTTTCCTCATCCTCGTGGAAACCCTCGTATACTGTCACAGTGCGAAGCTGTTCGATTTGGAGTGGTTCGGCGCTGCCTCGGACGAGAAGTTCTATTTCTTCTGGTTGGAAAAGCTGTTGTAGCACAATATATGGTTTGTGGAAGAAGATGGAGTATGGTAAAAAGTTGAGCGTGCGGTTAGGAAGAAACATAAATAACATATGCTTATCCACTAATATACTTACAGAAAGCGCATTCCCACCACACACATGATTGAATCCACGTTTGAATGGATCAAATTGTTTGGCGATTGAGTCGTTTAATACAAAGTTGACATAGCGATTGACGTAATCTGCAATTCAAAGCATTAGTGCGAGTACGTATTAATATCAATATCTCGTCTACAGATCGTTTACGGAGAATAGTATAATACTGATGATGCAGAAAACTCAAAGTCCCAGCCAAAAGTACTGCTTTTTTGGTCTCTTACCTTCTCGATTCTTGTTAGTTATCGGTGTATTCTCACCGCCGGGTATCAGCGGTACTCTTACCATTTCGCCATAACTCTCATATTCTCCCACAAAGTCCAAGAATGTTGATTCCACATCTTGCAGTGTCAATAGTTTTTCCAATCCATTTGCGAATGCAGGTCGAAATACTTTCAAATCTTCTAGTGTAACAGAAATATTAAGGAGTTTTTTGTAGCAGGCGAGAGGGAGATGGACGTCGAGGATGGTGGAATTGTAGATTGCTAGACCAATCACAACTCCCACTAGATAGTATTGATCCGAAGCTTCAAAGGATGCTGGATTAAACCAACATAGGTTACTGTCTTCATCCCAAGTAAACATACCTTCGGAAAAAAGAATACGGAAAAAAGTAGTAAATGGAAAAGTGAAGAACTGACTAAATAATAGGATAAGCAAAATTTTTTAGCTTCGCTTGCTACACATTTCCCCCAATCTTGTATATTTACCATATTGCGGATCAAATAATTCCCTAACCAATAATAAAAACCATTCCTTCCTCAACCCCCCTGCGTCTACTCCATCTTCATCAATGAATTCTATCCTTAATGACTTTTTTATGTCCATTTCGTGAGATGCTAACTGGTTCAAAGAGTCTTCAATTAAATAATCACGGCGGACTCGTAATATGAGCTGAGGCGTTGTAAGCCGTTTCTCAAACAGGATTGTGAAAAATGCTTCCTAGGTTTTCGCGAAGAGAAAAGTTAAAGACAATAGTAACAACATAAGCGAGTCATTTGAAAATAGTGTAGACATTTTGTCTTTTACCTTTGCTTTAATGTCCATCTGTCGCTTAGCATCGAACTCCATTATTTGCATCTTTCCACCCATACTTATTAAAAAGGGATATTGACAGAAGGCGAATTTTCTGTCACCAAACCGTACACAATGTATTAGTGAACCGCACAATTGGATGTTTATCAAATGTTACATGTGGAATAGTAGACGATTATTACCCAGTTCGTTGTTCCCAATTGTCATAATCCACTATAAAGTCAATACAGTCGACCATTGCATTATAGAATTCTGATAATGAGATTTTTGAATGCTGTTTGTTTGCCGCAACTGCACATAAAGTAGGAGGAACATTATAGTTCACACAATAATTAGCAATGGTAGTCAGGAGTGAAGTAAGAGATCTTCTACTCACACAGCAGCGCCATAACCCGCGCAGCAGATCCGATCTGCCAGTCCGATTCATATGTAACAGGTCCTGGGCATGTGTTGCGTTGCTGTTTGTTCAGTCGAGAAGAAACGAATGCATTGACCAATTCGACGCGTTTTCGGAAAGTCGTTACTGAGAGTCTGGCAAGCATTATTATATAATGTGTTAGAATACAAGAGAAATAATTTTACTTTTTGTTTGCAAGTGGATTCGAGATGTACCGTGAAAACCAGTTCACTAAATAGTGATGTAACTCATTGGTCAGGTTGGAGAGTAATCCAAAAATACGTTTAACAATGTTATGGTGGTATTGGGACTCTCGCGGAAAGTTATGTTGTGATAAAAGAGGATTCTATGGGGACGATAGATAATACGTAATGGTGAATAAATAGAATAAAGTCTGGTAATTTATAATAGCTGGTATCATAAATGGACCATTACCTCCAAGATTATCATTAAGAATTTAATTTCATCGGTGTTCTTCAATATCCTACACTCAGATATGGAATAAAGACAAGCTTAATGGCCATGTGAATGCGCAATATCGAATACAGCAATAATTGTACATATGAAAATTAAGCCAACACTTACCTCCCAGGTCGCTTTAATACATTCTCGATTGATTTCATCATTACTCTTATGACATTAACGGGCTGTCCGGCATTAGGAAAAAAAACAGCATGCATATATTAAGTTTGTGATACCGGCGAGAGAATAAAAACAGGCATGATACTTGTTAAATTAAAACCTACCAATTCCAGTAGAATCCTATATGCCTCTCTCACTTGGTCCAACGCAACACCACAATCATCCAGATTAACGGAACGTCCCTATGGTAATAAAAACTCAGTTAACTACAAAGATGCGATTAACAAAAGCGGAAATACAAGACAGAAAAATCCTATTGATGTTAATCAACTTACATTACTAAAACTTGCGTTCAAAGAATGCCAATTAGAGAAACATTTTGATATAGCCTCTTCTAACAATTCATAATCCGGCATTCCTCTGCCTGATTGTTGATTTCGACAAGTAACAATCAACGAGTGAATATGCTCGAGTGTCAATGGCATTATTAGTTCTTGGTAACAAGAATGGATGTGAAAATGTTTAGATGTGTGTGCGGGAAAGCATCATTGATGTTGTATATAGACTGTTACCTTTTTGAGAAGTCGGTTTTAAGTCATTAATTGTTTGACATACAGTGCATCTGAAGCATGATACTGATACTGGGAACCGTAAAGTACTGTATAATGGGTAATTTTAGTCAAGTCTGGTCAATTGCAGTTGATTAAGGAGCTCTGTGAATCCAGCTAAACGCGCCAGCAGGTATCAAGAGTACTTATTATCATACCCAAAACCAACTCTATTGCTCACCTGTTACAACACATACACTTGCCTATCGTCTGAACGAACAATGTAAGTGAATCAACAAGATAAGAATTAGCACATACAGTTGTGCTATAAACGCACTTTTTAATACTCTTGCAATCTCTCCCTTCCTGTTTACTAATTCTAATTTTCTTCCGACTGTCCAACTATCCCACTCCCCTTTGACAACAAACGAATATTCATACCATAGACACAGCTGGTACATTAGGATATGCATTCAGTCCAACTCCAACTCCATTGCTCATATGACCCCCGATACCAGAATTAATAACAGATCCGCCCACACCTCCGTTAGCTGTTCTAACAAGATTGGACGACGGGCGATTATTTGCATAAGGTGTTAACGAAGGACCAGCTGCAGACCGAGACGATAGATTCTTGGAATAATCCATACGAATCAAGTAGAGTTTGTTCTATGATTGGTGATTCGAAAGTTGAACACTAATCTAGGGAAAGTGTAGTTGTCAGTGTCCGGTTCCGTTAATATTGTTACTATTGCTAGCGTTATAGCTCTGGCTGTTGTTGCTATTGTCTATAGAGTTTGGTCGTGACTGAGAGTTAGATGATTATACTGAGTAGTTAGCAAAAATATAACGAAAACAATTCTTCGTAACTAGCCCCAGGTTGTATCACCACAAAGTGGCAAAGCAAAATAATGTCTAAACAACAAGTAAATCAGTAGACCGGGGGTTGGCTCTGAATTACGAATAAAAAGCAACTGACGAAAAGCAAACAATGGGTGGACTTTTCTCAACTAAGTAAGGACGATGTAACGGGATAAGTCGATGCAGAAACGTAATAAACTTTTTGAATGGCAATAAGCGAGTAATGTTGATTGCTGATTTAATTTGATGAAAGGGGGAGGTAGGGTTTGGAGAAAAGCGTTTCGTGTGGACGTGGAGAAAATTTAGACCAACCCTGAGAATACTCTGTGATGATGATGACGATGATATATTATTGCTAATTACATGTAATTAACTTTTATGCATGTCTTGAAAATATTTATCGAACAATGTGAATAAAAGCAATATGGCAAGAATAATGGAAGTCTTGGGATGATTTATGATTTATGATTTACTGACCGGAATAGGCAAGTAGTAAAATGTCACAATGATCAAGAAACAACAAGATTCACCACTTTAAAACCTTCGGAATGTCTCGAGTATCCGGAGATTGTCACACAAAGTGTTACCAATTTGGTATGACAAAACGAAGGATTGTCCATATAATAATACTACTCCTTCTGAACTCTTACCCAAACCAGTTTCGGGTTTCCTTGTACTTTTATTATCCTCCAAAATAATACAAAAAATATATAATTATCTGTCGAGTTCGTTTTAATATAAATAGGCTGACCGGTCAGCTTGCTCATGCTTGTGTGAAATAGCAAGTTAACTTTTACAAACTGCATCTTTCCATTCGCTTATACAACTTAATTGTCCGGCAGAGTATAAAAAAGATTGCTGTTAGTACAAACCAACAATTGCTTACCAACCCATTATCAGACATACATATTTGTATAATATTATTAATTAAAAAGCAGTCCTATTCAAGTTAGGCAGATACATACCTATTTTACAACCTAACAGCCGGTTCGAATACTGCTTCTTCTATCTCTCGAGTTTCCGTCCGTATCAGCAAACATTATCACATTCGAGTTGCTCATCTCTACAACTAAATGTATCTCAAATCAACACACTCACGCCTCGTAGATGGTGGGCATCAATGGGAAGTAACCCTATTTTGCAGTGCCGAGGCAAACACAATCGCTTCCGTCGACATCTATCCCAAAGGCCGAACATCCAAAGTCCTCCCAAACGATGCCAAACCAGCACCAACAGCATACACAATGACGTATTCCTCATCGAGAAATGAGGATCCTCCGGAACGTTTTACCGCAGAAATAACATTTCGAGCTGGAGGGAAAAAGACAGTCACTGTCCCCGCAAACATGGCCACCGATCGAAAACGAAGAAGACCGGACGGAAGCGTAGATGATGAGGCTGTGGAAATGGAGAATCAACCGTCATCGCCGCCGAATGAGGAGAACATTAAGAAGAAACGGAGCAAGGGTTGCTTTGTATGGTTTACGAGAAGAAAGAATAAGAACAAGGATGACATGGATGAAAAGAGAACTGGAGAAGAGGACGATGCACCGAAAGGCTGTTGTTTTTGTTTTTGTCGATGAAGGTAAGCGTTTGAATGGGTGTACATGTTTGATTGGAAACCCTTCGAAATATTATAAGACTGGTATTGACATTCTAAATAAACTAGGTATCCCTGTCAACCAAATATGGCATACTGATGATGTCATGCAACGCCATCGAATCAAAAAATATATACTATTCTAATAATACATACTTATTGAAATATACGAATACTCTTATTTTCTTTTTAATTTTTTATGACATTCGAAACAGATGATTATATTATATAGTAAACTGTAATATTGATATTGATGTAATATTGACATTGGCTGCTGTTAAATAAAGAAAACTTATTCACAAGATTCGATTTTTAAAAGTATGTCAATTCTACCTAGTTGGCCCCACGAATCATATACCAAAGGTGAATCACGTGTGCCGATAATATATTACTACTACAAATGACGTGTGATTTCTTCCCGTAGTCATTCAAGAAAGTGTTTGTAATCGTTAATTATTGGTCACAATAGAAATAACCTGGTCATTTCTTTCTTTGGGTATCAGGCGGGAAATGAAATAAAGTTTCTATGCACTATATCTGCAATTTGACGAAAATGTGTCTGCAACAATAACACATACGACGTTACGTATCAGTCAGTATATTAATATTGCGATTAATGATTAATGCCGATAATCGGCTGATAATTTAACATTAATGCCGTAACACAAACAATCTGATGATTACGATTCTACCAAACAAGCATCGCCTTGTTTCTATTGACTTTGTGTCAAAGATTAAACCGTTTGATAATGACAAATCAACTGTTTCAGGTCTCTCGTAATAGACATAGTGCATCTGCACTGCTGAGTCTTATTGGCGCCTGGAAATTTTTATAAAACGAGCGCCAATTCACTATATAACGTTACGATCAGGGCAAATTACCATCAATTTGTCTGCTATGCCTCCCTTTGCGCATGCAAAACTCTGTAATGCTTAGCTAGGCTCGAACAATGGCTTACAAGAGCCTATTCTCGAGTCAAAAACGGTAACAAGTTGGATAATAATAATAATAAATAGAAGTAAATCAAACTCCACAAAAAGTGTCTTAATCTCCTGTATGCGTGTTGGTCTGGTTTTTTAAATCACCCAAAACTTGACATGCAAAATTATTTTTATTTCGATAGCATCGTGTGATATTTAGAAAGATGTGTTTAATATGTTTGCTGTATAACTTAAATTTCCACAGAATGAAAGGCAATAGAGTAATTAATATCAGAATGTTGATCTCTTTGACAAAAGAGAAAGCTTGTATAGAATAAAGACAGTTGGTGTTTTCCGACTTGCAAACGATGGACTTTATACTTATTAGTATCAAGAGTTGATCGGATTTACGCGCAAAAAGAAAAACTGAGATCTACATCTTAATAACTAAAAAACGCGGGCCATGGGTGGCATGATTCGTCCATTCTATTAAATACAAACTACAGTTACATTGCTTTCAACTGTTCACTTTTTTTTTCTAAATGTCTGCCGCAAAATCTCTCTCAAACCTTACTCCCCTCGAGCTTAAAGGTGGCAGAATGCCGCCGTCTTTGGTCGTTGCAAAACCAACTATAACAGTCCGCCAAGCTTTGAAAATAATGGCGACTCACAACATAACCTCACTCCCGATACAGTCGCATGATTCTGACGCAATAGTGAATATTGTGAACCTGATTGACATTCTTTCTTATACCATCAAAGAGTCAGTGGCGGACGAGGAACATCCAAGTAAATTGGATAGTGAAGGAGTAAAGGGCTTGGATAATGGAATTGAGTCTGTAATGACTTTGGATACCGAGACGGAGAGTTATAGGATATTCAAAAGCGATGCTAGAGACGAACTGAGAGGGGTGAGTATCTGAGACGAGTATGTGAGGATGACAAACACATGGATTATTTGAAGCATAAATACAAGTATACAAAAGAAATATGCCTAGCTTCTGCACTGAATTCTCATCTTGCTCCTTTCCTGATTTGAATCTTTGCCCCACTCTGTTCCTAACTTTCAGACCGTAAAAGCTTTTACTCAAGGAATCCATCGTTCACTAGTAATCGATTACACGAACGAAATTCCACCATACATCTTGACCCAAACCGACATCATACGCTACGTCTGTGCACATCCAGAATCTCTTCCTGGTATCGATTTTGACAAGACAGTCAGAGATTTCGGATTGATCAGAGAGGGACGAGAGGTCGTTGTTGGAAAACCGGAAGAGACAGCGTTAAATGTTTACAGGCGAATGGCAGAAAAGGGATTGATGGGCATTGCAATCACTGATAGGTAATAGGGAATGTCTGGGTATGGTGGGTGTTGAGAGGAGCACAAAAAAGAAATAGATCAAACGAGAGTGTAGTCGACTTGAAAATGTGCATTGTCGGTATGATCCTGAACTGACGACTTTTTTTGTTGATTGATAGTGACAACAAGCTTATCGCAAATCTTTCCGCTGCTGATCTGCATGGCTTAACATACAGATCAATAGACTGCCTTATTCTACCGGTTTGTGAATTTCTTCAGGTAATTTCTATTATGAGTTTCATTTATTTTCTCCCTTCCTCTCTCTCGTATTACTACGAATATATCTCTAATTTATATTATCCAATTGTCTTTATCCAAACTATCGAAATTTCCATGTAATGCATGCAGGCTCTGCCAAACCCGGGCAGTGCATTGACGCCATTCACTGCTAACCCCGATACCCCGCTTCGTAACGTCCTCCAAACTATTGTTGAGCAGCATATTCATCGTGTGTGGATCGTTGAAAATGAGAGAGTTATCGATGTCGTTACGTTGTCGGATTTGATTAAAATATTCGTAGACGTTTAAGATTGAGAAGTTGTTAACGTTGGAAATATTGTGTATAAGGACGCGTATTTAAACGATTATATTATTTATTTCAGACTTATTATATTATCCAAAGCAAGAACAATCCTTTTTTTTTTACATACTAACAATGTTGGTTGTATGATATTGAGAATGAAAAACTAAAAGCTGTTTATGAACTTCGAACAGGTAGATCAGTAGCCTGTTCTCTTTCGTGTACGTAAACATACGGACTATCTAGGACGTAATTACATCGTTCATTGTCGATTTTTGATTTCTCATAGTTGGCTAATGATCGTTAGCAGACTATGGAAAACCTGATTCCAGAGAAGTTTAGTGAAAGTGATATAATTATATTATGTAGATTGATACTTGTGGGGGGGGGAATTTAAAGTCTTCCGGGGAGTTAACAATCTTGTTGGGGAAATATCTATTCGGCCTGCAAAGAGTGAAAAAAATTGGAGATGAAATTTTCCGCGCGTAAAAAGAACCTGCAACTTACATCTCATGAGAGATAATATGGTGAATATTAAAAATGAGCCGTTGACTTTTAAAAGTGTTCTTGAATATTACCCACTTGCTCTCCAAAGACTTATCCGTACATTTGCATATAATGTTGCAAAAGCACATCACATTTTACCAATTATTATTGGAAAACACGTGAAGTGAGTGAAACTGCAAATTCTTGACGACAAAAGAATGTGTAGTATATTCTGACCAGAAGATTTACTTAATTATAATAATAGATTCCAAGCCAAGAGGATTGATGTATTTACCAAAGAATGAGTTCCTGTTCCCAGATTATTATAGGCAATCTTGGCTACTATTATTCTACTTTTCTTAAGACACTTGGAATTTCTGATGCATGTGTGTGAATACTTGGGATATGGCTGGGCAGAGGGGGAAAGCTGCATGGAGGAAGAAATGTGAGAGAGAATCAAGGTGGTGTGAGTATATAAATGCTCATAGAACCTATGATCAGAAATATATTGAGGAATAGTTTTATAGTTGACAAGAAGCTGTTGTGCAAGAGCTTTATGAACATTGAGTTGACCAATAAACCTGAAGCATTATCAGACTCATCCAGCGATGAATGTGATATCGATATAGAAATTAAAGAACAAAATTGAATACATACAAATAGACGAAATCTGAATCACTCTGGATACAGTCAACTGCCTTTAATTCGTCCCTCTTTAATTCGGATTTTCGATAATCCGGACCGGGCTCGTTTTTTTCATATCAAATTCCTTCCTTTACTGTATGTGATCAACTGTATAAATTAAGTATTGTAAAATCCATCCATCACCGATCATTCCCATATATATAATAATTTCTCGTTAATTTCAAATTTCCTTCGGACGCTTAATAAAATCCAGCCGTCCAAATTCCGAAAGAGTTTTATGGATCGTTCCAAACAATACTGTACTGGTAAAAAAATCCCAAACCCTATACACATCTAACTGCCGCAAAAAAGCACGATGTAATTCAAGTCGTTAAAAGAAGGCGAAGATACATTAAGACGGTCTTTATCGTTTCTTGAACAACAGGATAACGATAACATTAATATTCGTGTAGATGATTTATCAGTCGTTCGTCGACTAATTAGTCAAGTTTCATATTAGTATCAGTAAATTACATTATCTTAGAAAACTTTTTCGATAATAAAATTTGTGGCGATTTTTTGTCACACAATTAATCGATAATTCGTCCATCTACGTTAATTCGGACGATGGCCTCGGAAAGTTGGTGTCCGAATTAAAAGCAGTTGACTGTACACCTTCCCTTTTCGATCGAGTATTATTATTAATGAATAATTGTACTTGTCATTAAAATTGACTGAAAATGTATGAGTTAAGGGACCCAATTCGCGTCGCCCACTGCTTTCTTTATGCAGTCTACCCACTGGAGCATTATTCTTATTTGACGTACGCGTCCCAGTTATGGTGCATCAACGAGCACTAACTTACCTTTTTCTTTTCTATCACTTGCCGTTGTAAAAATAAATCCAATAATCATTGCCGTTTTATTATATGAAATTTTTTCACGAGGGTGTACGCGGATCCCAAGCATATAATAATGACGGCCAAAAATAAACAAAACCGGTGAAGCGTAAATTAATATATAGGACTACACGTATATGAAGAATCATGAGCATAATGACTCCATAGAATGGAAAAAGACAATGCGTTTCTTAGAAACAGGTTGCAATTGTGGTTGCTCAAAAATGATTACAAGAGAAAAATTTGCCGAATTACGTGAGGCGTTCAAACTCTCTCTAGATCCGAACAAGATATATTTATAATGGCTCAGCTGAAAGCAATACTGCGAACAAAAAACACGACGACAAAAATCTGAGAAATTACTAAAGTAATTTCTAAAGCTAAAAACCGACGAATTTTCACAAGAACAGTTCACCGTGCACTTCATGAAGAAAATGTACGTTCGTATATTCCTTTTAAAAAGCCTCTCATCTTAGAAAAAAATCGGAAATTTGACTCGAGTGGGCAATGGAAAGGAAGGAATTGGACTGTTGCAAACTGGAAGAAAGTCATATGGTCGGATGAATCTACTTTCTCTCAGTTGCGGTGGCACTGAAAAACGCAATCCTCAGCCTTCAAATGTTCACAAACTTGAGAAGGCAGCAAAAGAAGGTGTAATGCGCTTCCGCAAAAAGTATATCGTAATTTGATACATCTATGCCCAACCGTATTCAAGCCGTGATTGCTGTAAATGGAGGAAATACTAACTATTGACGTTTACTTTAAGTAAATAAAATTTCTTTTTGGTTTAATAAAAAAACTTTTTCAATATCATAAATATAAAAGTGTGCAATACTTTTGTCCCCCCCCTGTATATACACACATATATACACAGATAAAATAATCAGTTAGCATACATCTGTATCCAATTTTTCAAAAAAAAAAAAACAAACTTCTTTCCATTGAAATGTTTGTGCTGCCTTCTCTGCAAGCCTGTTAGCCTTGTTCCTCGCTCTCTCTCACATTGATGAACGTGAGCTCATCGAAGGCAGCTGAGCCTTGTAGTTTTGAAAAATTTCGTCACGATCGTTCGACGTCAGATGAGCACAGACTTCCTTCAAATATTCCAGGCAATCCATGCAAGACCATTTTTCATAGTTTGTGTCGTTAAAGTAAGAAGTAAGCTCACTTGAAATGTCCATCTATAAAAAAGAAGTTTGCATTAGTCACTATGAAATATAATTATACATGAATAAGAAAACACGGAATGGCATTGATGCAATAGGTTCTGGAAATGAGTATGCCACACGAATCTACTAAGAGGATCACAGCATAAGCCGTAAACGTCTAAGCAGGCATGCAACGCCCTCATCCCAAACATCGGCTGCAGGGCCCATAAAATGGGCACGCCCATACAGACGTAGGATATTGTGCTTATGCCCAAGATGTGACCTAAAAAATAATACTCAACTCGGCAAAGTGTGCTTGGGTATGTGTGTTTTCCTCAGAAAATTTTTTTCCAGTGACGTCACGTGTGATCCTAGTAGTACCTATCGCGAGGAACTTTTATTCACAAGGTGCTCGCTAAAGCCCAGTTTAAGCTGTTTTTATCTATCTACTTACATGTAGAGGAAGAGAATAAAAGCCCATAT